ACTGCCAGACAACACACTCCCACACTCTTCAAAAACTTAAACCTACTTAATATACATAAAATTCACTCACGCTACTGTGCAGGCTACATATACAGGACAATAAATTCTAATGTCAATTCTGCCCTGAAACTTTCTTGATAGATGCAACAGAACCCATAGACAATACTAGATACAAAAATCTCTATGATATTCCTGGTATCTAGCTTAATCTTTGCAAAAACTCACTGTGCATAAAAAAGACCTAAAAATCTGTAACTCTCTATCTGAAAATTCCAGTCTCTAGTAGTCAGCTGCTTCACAGCTACTGTTAACCCTTTCAGGGTTTCCGACGTACTAGGGTTATTGATGTACTAAAACGCCTAAATTCTAGCGCCTTCAAATCTAGTGAGAGAAAGCTGGTAGGCCTACATATGAAAGAATGGGTCTATGTGGTCAGTGTGCACAGTATAAAAAAATCCTGCAGCACACAGTGCATAATGAGAAAAAAAAACTATGACCATGTTTTTGATTTAAAACAACTTTTCAGTGTATTTTCGTATGGTATTTATGGTTGTATTCTAGTTTTCCTGGTCTCATTTTATAGAACGGAAGACATATTACAGAAATTGAGATGATTTTGACTGGTTTCACAATGAAAAGTACCTTGAAATTGAGCTCAAATTAGCAGAAATGTTCAATTTTTACCAAATTTCAAAAGTAATCATGCCAAGCGTCCAATACACGTCAACTGGTGAGTCTAACATTCTTTCACAAGTGCACTGATATTATTTACACCATTTCTACACTAATGCAGTAGTCTGCATAACAGTAAATCTTCTATTTTTTGTGAGAAAAAAATTCAAAGTGGAAAGCAAAACAGATGTAAGAGGGGCCTGGGGATGTGACTAATGAACAGAGAAAATGTTATTTTAGTGCCAGGAATGTCTGTCTTGCTTATTCTGGACCCTATTTGGAAATTGGTATCTTCTGAAATTTGTGTGAAATTTGCAAAATTGCCAATTTCTGACCACTTTATTTGATACTTGAAATCGGTAAATGGGTGGTTTCTTGTACTCATTCGATAGACAAAATGGAGTTCTAGCAAAATAGATATGATTTTTGTCGACTAGTACACCGAAATTGGCCAAAAATAGGGCTTAAAGTGGGCGAAATCGCCGATGCGTGAACCGTCGAGACCGCTAACTTTGCGAGAGCATAACTCCATAAGTTTTCTATCAAATTTCATAATTTTAGTGTCATTATGATTGAGAAAAGATTCTTTATCATTCATACTTTTGGTGTCATTATGATTGGGAAAAGATTCTTTATTATTTCATAAGAATTTTTTTTTTTTTTTTCCGAAAAATTTTCGACCCTGAGAACGAGTTTAGAAGAGGGCCTCTTGACCCTGAAAGGGTTAAAGAACACCTCCTTTCATTTATGTGATCCTAACAGAAATTAATTATGCTGGATAATTCTTTCAACCTGTATTTTCTCTGTCACTGTTCATCATTCCTTCAACTCGTGTACCTTGCTTCATCCCTAATATATCACTAATTATAATTTTTTCATTGAATTGCTAAGTACCTCCAATATAATAAAAAGTACGTATTCTTATTCTCCTACACTTGTAATCATAATAGTTTTAAGGCTGCCAGAAATGCTCTGCATAATAAGGGGCTTTCTATAAAGTAGTTATATATGTCAATCACCATAATTGTATTATATTATATTATTATTGTATTATATTATATTATACTCCACTTTATAGCAATAAAGTTTTGTTAGCAGTAAGTAGGTACCTGGGTATTAGTTGACTGCTGTGGGCTGCATCTTGAGAAGGGGTGCTTTGAAATGAGCTGAGGCAGGATAACAGCTCTCAGCCTGTAAACATATTCAACATGCATACACCCCTTGTGTGTGACATTGGCTACTGTTACTTATGTGGGTTTTACAGTGTTGACAGTCATTTGCTTCTATTTACTGCTATGTTGAAATTTCCTTTTTATCAGTCATATAAATTGTAGAATTTTTTTTTACACAAGTAAGGTTTAACCCTTTCAGGGTCCAAAGGCCAAATTTCTAAGTGCACACCAATGTCCAAGAATTTTCAAAAAATAATTTTGTTATTTTTTCTTATGAAATGGTAGAGAATCTTTTTTTGAAGGTAATAAAACAAAAAGTACAAAATTTGATGGAAAATTGACGAAATTATGCTCTTGCGAATTTTGATGTGTCAGCGATATTTACGCATCAGCGATTTTGCCGACTTTGACTCCCATTTTAGGCCAATTACTTTATTCCAGTCGACCAAATTCTTAGCTATTTCACTAGTATTACTTCTATTATATAGACTGAGCACAAGAAATCGCCAACTCAACTGTTTCAACTACAAAATAAAGTGATTGGAAATTGGTAATTTGGCCAATTTAGTGCAAAGTTCAAAATATTCCAATTTCAAAATAGGGTCCAGAATAAATAATGCAGGCATTCCTGGCACTAAACTAACATTTCCTCTTTTCATTAGTTACGTTTTCAGGCTTTACAAATGAATTCCATTTTGATTTTTAATTCACATAATGAATTTTTTATTCAAACCAAAAAATGGAAGATTTACTGTCATGCAGTATTGTAATAATTGTATAAATAATATCATCACATTTGTGAACGTATATTAGACCCACCAGCTGGCGTGTATTAGACGTATGAGGTCATTTGTTTACTCTTGAACATCGGCAAAAATTTAACATTTCCGCTACTTTGAGCTCAGTTTCAAGCCATTTTCAGTACTAAAACCAATCAAAATCATCTCTATTTCTGTAATATGTCTTTTCCATTCTATCAAATGAGACCAAGAAATCGCAAATACAACTATAAAAAACATACGAAAAAACACTGCAAAGTTGCTGTTTTAATAAAAAATTACGGTCTCAGTTTTTTTCTTTCATTATGCACTGTGTGCTGCAGGATTTGTTTTGTGTGGTGCACACATACCACATAGATGTATTCTCTAATATCTAGGCCCAAATTTACCGCTCACAGCTTATCAGAGTGAGCTGAGCTCATGACGTTGATCTACGGTTTGGACCCTCAACGTAAAGCCGTAGATCTACGGCACGGACCCTAAAGGGGTTAAGAAATACTAGTAAAATGCTTGTTGAAGTCTAACTGTCAGCTGGTGTAGTTTGCCTCACACATATATCCCTCCTACGATGATCAGAATGTTTGAAGCGATTGATCATTGTGCATACACTCATCTCTGAGAGAAATACTGAATTAAACTGCACACTGGTACTGGTATATTCATGCATCCTGTTTTGAATACTGTTTCTCCTGACCAGCAGGCTCGATTTTTAATGCATTCCATGTTCAGCTTGTCTATTATGAAAATATACACAATGGCTGCAATGTCATTTTCTGATTTTACTTTTTACTAACAAAATATTAAGAGATAAGAAAATGCAGGTTTGTGGGTATTATATCTGAACTATGGTAATAATTTTCATTGAGTTCCACAGTTATCTAATGTATACATCCATAACAAATGCACCTCTAATGGCCAGTAACATTTAATCAATAGTCTAGGTCATTCAAAATATTGGACAACTCATCCAGTGTTATGTTCCCAATGCCATCATTTATTCTAGAAGAGTGAATTTTAATGTCAACTACTGGTATCTGGAAAGCACAATCTTTCATGAACCTTCACAAGAGGAAGTTCAAAGTTGTAATATCAGGGAATTGCAGGGAAAAAGGGGTGGTATTTGATGGGGCCATCTGTCATTCTGCCAGGGAACTTCATGTTTTGATAATTATACTCTCTTAAGCATCAAACTGCATTAGCTAATAAGATTTAATTGGCTTCTGCTTTATATTAAATTTTAATATTTATTCATATTACCATACTGAATTGGTGCTTTTTATATACATACTCTTTAGTAAAGTAAGTAATAAGCTTTAAGCACTAGAAAAACTACAGTACAGTACAGTAGTAATTCCAGACATACTTTATCACTTAAAATGACAAGAGCAAGTGGGTAATGGCTTCAAGGCTGTGTTATTTGACTTGTGGGAAGAAAGAAACTTCCCTCACCTTGATCTAATTACTTATCACACATTCATATGCAACTGCAGTGCTCTATTATTATTAATGATAATAAATGTATGACAAAAAATATGGTATGAAAGCAATACTGTAATTAACAACAGTGTATTCTCAAATTCAAGTTCTCCTTCTATGCACAAGTAATTACTAACTTTTATGGTTTATAATGGTGATTGTTAATTAAAAAAAAGCAGCTGCTACATTTACTCACTGTATTGGTTTTATACTGCAACTGTATACATTTCTATTTAATGAAACATCTCACTACTTAGTCAATATGCCAAATTCAGACCTTATCACAATCCATTACACAATCTCAAAAATACCTATACAGTAAATGCACTAATTAAGTACCAAAAATACATCAAATGGTACAGGGGCTAGACAAAATGACACCTAATCCCTTACTTGGAACATCCATTAACCCGTAAACGGTCCAAACGTATATGTATACGTTTTTTCAACATTTAAAAGTATGTAAAAAAAGTAGATCTTTTTGTTTTTTTACATTTGAAAATGTGTAAAAAACTTTGATCTACTTTTTTTTTGTTATATTTGAAAAAATGTAAAAAAAAAACGTAGATCTACTTTTGTAGCACTACACATGTGAACGTAGATCTGCTTGGACCATTTGCGGGTTAACATATCACATTAACAATAGTTTATGGTATCTCTAATCTATATACTAACTAAAGTAGAAGTAAATTAAACTTAAATGCTAAAAATGTCATTTTTTAAAGATCGAACCTCTATATGCAAGCATTGATAGAAATAAACAAAATATAGTTCGTTCTTTCTTATTTACTCATTCTTATTTACTTATGCCTTGACAAAGGTACAGTAATTGTATATGTTATTTGTAAAAGAGGGCTGATCATAAATAATAATACACAGTATATATATATTATGAACATACCTAGTAACATCAAACTTCCTTGCCATAAGAAACTTGATGGCAGTGTTCCATGACAGAGGTCCCACGTTCCTTGAACGTCGTAACTCATTCACTTGCTCCACAAACTCTTTCGTCGCCTGTGGAATAAAAATTATTTGAAAAAAAAAAAAAAAGTGATACAGTGCAACATTAAGACATCAGGAAATGTAGTGCAACATCTACAGTAAAAAAAAAAGAAGGCTGCAGTCAAAGACTACTGCATTAGTTAATGTTTGACATTGATGTACTGTACACACAACCTATGTACACCTTCAAATAAGTACAATAAGAATTTTTTATGCAAATTTTTACTCTGGGAAACATTAGCAAAAATAATAAATGATAAACTTTATTTCTACAAAGTACAATTTACAACTGATTTAAGAATAGTTGACATTACTGATATACCTAATAGAAAGCCCCTGGTTATGCAGAGCACTTCTGGCAAACTTAAATAAACTTATAACTACTGGATAAATAATTAATTTGGTTTACAGGAATGTTAAACCTTGAAATCTTTGACATTAATTCTAATACCCTGGATTATGATTATTAAGTCTGGAAATTTTTTTTCAAAATAATTTATTTTAATTTTCTGTAAAAAAATTAGCAGTTACTGCAAATGGTGGTCAGAATACAAATGCAAATACTAATTATATTTCAGCATTACAGGACATACAATAATCTAAAGGCCTGTAGAATGCATAGCATCTCAGGCTAAACTTAAACTAAACTATACTTAACCCATTCACTGTCTCTTATTTAGATCTACATTACTGAAGCTGGGTCACTTATGTAGATCTATGTATAAATTCTCTGTACATGTATCATCATTTGTGATACCAAAATAAGCATGAAAATCACCTACGGAGAAGATGTGGAAAAAATGCATGAGTAGACATAAGCAAAGTTTTCCAATGGGCAGTGGAGAATAACATGACCTTGAATGGTGATAAGTTCCAGCTGCTAAGATATGGAAAGAATGAAAAACTCAACAATGACACTGTATACAAAACTGAAGAGGATCACCAAACAGAACAAAACTAACACACAAGTAAGTATGAGAGCAATTACGTCAGCTGAAGTTTCTTTCAAAGAACAAAATTAAGCAAATATTATGACAGCCAGGAAAATAACAGGTTGGACAAGGAGAACTTTCAAAACAAATGAAAGGTTACCAATGGCAACATTATTCAAATTGCTTGTGTTCTCTAGGTTATTGTTCTGTGTAGTAGGATGTTCAGGGCAGGAGAGATGTCAGAACTGGAACAAATACAGAAATCATTTATGGCCTACATAGATCCAGGAAAACATAAATTACTGGGAATGCCTCGAAGTCCTAAATACACTCACTGGAGTGGAGGAAAGAAAAATACGTGATAATATATACGTGAAAAGTAATTGAGGGCCTAGTACCAATTCTGCACACTGCCATAAGAAATGAGAGAAAACCCAGTGAAAAAACAGGGGTGTCATGGACACTGTCAACATTCATGGTCCCCAAAAATCTTACCAGAAGATTTAGATTCACTGCCAGTACAAGTGTAGAAGTTTTCAAAAGGAAACTGGACATGTACCTCTGCCAAGGGCCAGATCAACCAGGCTGTGATGGATATGTGGGCCAGTGGACCACCAGCAGCAACAGCCTGGTTGACTAGGCAGGCACTACACAAGCCCAGCCCAGGGCTGGGCAGCGAGAGTAGGGAAAACTCTTGAAACCCTCAAAGATAAAGTTGTAGTCACTAGAGGCAAATTAACCAGTGACCACAAAACACGTTTAAAAATTTCACACATACTGAATATTTCTGTTTAAAGACAATTTCTTAGATTTTTTTTTCAGCATCTTATGGTTTTTAACAGATTGAAATCCTTGCTTAAATTAAGCACCCTAGATTAAATTCCTGGCTTAAGCCCTCCCCCCAGACTGAAATCAAAGCAGTGGGTTACAATAAACCTACAACTGATCCTTGTTATCCGGCACTTGGCCACAACCTCAATTTCAAGTAATGTACTAGCGCTGTGGACCACTTTGCAGAATGGTAGTGGCAGTTATTCATTTGGTTTACCTTGTACATATTACTGTTCACCTCATATGTATTATGATGATGTGTGCACCGTGAGTAATGTGAAGGTTACTGCAACACAAGACAAACATTTCTCTCAACACACATACAATTACATGTAAATATATATATTATATTAAAACAAAGCACGCTAAGAAAAAATGTCACTAGTAACAAAAACCAATAATGAAGCATCATGTGAATGGTTACATGTAATATAACTAGTAACACAGTGAATTGTTTTCTGCCTGGTTACCCATAACCTCACTTTAAAGCTTCAAGAGTGCACATGCACTCTAGCACCACACATTCTAGTACTACACACTTTAGCACCATGCACTCTAGCACTAGCACCACATACTCTAGCACCACACATTCTAGCACCACACATTCTAGCACCACACATTCTGGCATCACACATACTGACACCACACATACTGACACCACACATTCTAGCACCACACATTCTAGCAGCACACATTCTAGCATCACATTTGGCATACACATTACTGACACCACACATTCGGCATCACACATACTGACACCACACATTCTAGCACCACACATTCTTGCACCACACATTCTGGCATCACACATTCTGACACCACACATTCTAGCACCACACATTCTGGCATCACACATACTGACACCACACATTCTGCACCACACATTCTGGCATCACACATACTGGAACCACACATTCTGGCACCACGCACTAGCACCACGCCCTCTTGTATCTTACACACACACACACACACACACACACACACACACACCACACACACACATGCACTCTCGCACCACTCATGAACAATAATCTGGAAGCTACCTGTAACTGTGTGATTGTACAGCTGTACGTGTATTTACAACTGTACATGTGTGTACTGTGGGATCAGTGTGTGTGTGTGTGTGTATGACGAGACTGCTGCCATCTACACCTAAACTATTCTGGCAGACATGACTGGCTCCTGGCCTGCCTCATACCCACTCTTAAAACTGTGCATCGAAGTTGTGGGCTCACCATGTGATGTGACACCCACAGCGTAACGGCTCGTTGACAACCTTGATTAACAGCTCGTTTACAATTTTCATTAACGGCTCGTTTACAACCTTCCTTAACAGCTCGTTTACAACCTTCATTAACAGCTAGCTCATTTACAACCTTCATTAACAGCTAGCTCATTTACAACCTTCATTAAAATAAAAATATGTTGCTACTGAGATGTTTTTATCCAATAATGTTTATGATGTTTGGAAGTTTGCCTATGATTTCATGTTTTGTTTTTTTTTACTCTTCACTTATCATAGATTCATATGTAGCACTGTGTGTACACACACCGGAGGGCCCCGCTTTACAGCGTCTCGCCAATGCAGCGGTTTTCAATTACAGTGGACCTTCAGTTAACGGCAGCATCAGCTAATGCCAAAATTGGATAACGCCTCGCTTTGGTGTAAAAAAAATTGGTTCGGATAACACCTAAAAACTCAGGAGCTTTCGTCCCGAATGTGTCGATGTGGCGCACAGCACCCTGAGTGGGCCCGGCCACTCACTCCGTGTACCAGCCAGTGTGCCATTGTTTACAAAGCCAGTGAGGACGATTCCATACGTACATGCGATATATTTTGTATTATTCCTTTGTTTTTGTTTGACATTGTAATTGCTAAGTAAGCCACCATGGGCCCCAAGAAAGCTTCTAATGCCAGCCCTATGGTAAAGAATGTGAAAAACACATATAATTTAAGAAAAAGTTTGTAGAAAAATACGAAGTGGTAGTGGTAGAGGGGGGTAATGGTTGTGATGGTGGTAGAGGGTGGTAGTGGTTGTGATAGTGGTAGAGGGTGGTAGTAATGGTGGTATGGTATGATAAGGCATGGTGAGGCTGCCAGTTCTGACAAAAAAAGCAGCTGAAAAATATGTGCAGGACTTTAAGGGGTACATAGAGACTGAAAAATTAAAACCCCAACAAGTGTTCAATTGTGACGTAACAGGCCTGTGTAGGAAGAAAATGCCAAACAGGAGCTACATTATTCAGGAGGAAAATGCACTCCCAGGACACAAGCCAGAAAAGGACTTGTTACCTTAAGTCTTTATGGAAGGGGATTCCCCTTCGAAACAATAGAACACCTTCATCCTCCGCCCTCCTCCCGTCTCATCACTCATCAACGAGCCCACAATAACGGTAAGTGTAATGTTATTATTGTTTTATTCTTCATGTATCATTGTTTTCTGTGTAGGGAAATGTATATTTCACGTAAAAAAAATTATTTTGTTAACCCTTAAACTGTCCAAGCAGATCTACGTTAACATGCGTAGTGCTCCAAAAGTAGTTCTATGTTTTTTTTACATATTTTCAAATACATGTATAACAAAAAAAGTACATCAAAGTTTTTTTACACATTTTCAAATGTAAAAAAAAAAAAGATCTACTTTTTTACATACAGTTGAAACCCGCATATACGTGGACCCTTGCCATACGGACAATTGCATAGGACAATCCGCATAGCGGACGCTTTGATCGCTAAAATTTTGCCTCGCATAGCGCCCAAAAAACCGCCACGGCCTACTTCCAGAATCGTCCGATGTGGCTGAGCAGCCTCAAGTCCGCCTGTGGCATTGTTTACCAGCCAGCCTCCGCGGTAACATTCCAAGCATACAATCGGAATATTTCGTATTATTACAGCTTTTTCGTGTTGTTTCTGAAAATAAGTGACCATGGGCCCCAAGAAAGCTTCTAGTTCCAACCCTACAGCAAATAAGGGTAGAATTCATAGAATGAAGAAAGAGATCATTGATAAGTATGAAAGTGGAGTGCGTATCACCGACCTGGTCAGGTTGTACAAGAAAACCCAAATCAACCATCTCTTCTATTGTGGGCAAGAAAACGGCAATCAAGGAAGCTGTTCTTGCCAAAGGTTTAACTGTGTTTTCGAAACAAAGATCGCAAGTGATGGAAGATGTTGAGAGACTCTTATTGGTGTGGATAAATGAAAAACAGCTAGCAGGAGATAGCGTCTCTCAAGCGATCATATGTGAA